CCTTTGTCGAGTATGGGTTCAGAGGAAGAGGGGGAGCGGGGGGCCCCCCGGGAGGTTCGACCCTTGCGCGGGGATAACACATCCGGCGAGTCAGCAGCAACAACACATACACATACACCACGCTTGCTTTGCTTGCTGCTCTTGCTGCTGCTGCTGCTGCTGCTGTTGCTGTTGCTGCTGCTGTCGTCAGTTGTTGCTGTAGAAAGAGGGAGGCCGCAGCTGCTGCAGCAGCTGTTGCTGCTGCTGCTGTTGCTGCTGCTGCTGATGAGACCTCGTTGTTTCTTCTTTGGCATTGTGAGGCTTCTGAACTTGACTCAACATATAAACCCTAAACCCTAAACCCTAAACCCTAAACCCTAAACCCTTAAAACCCTCAAAACCCTAAAAATATTCAGCCAGTCGAATCTCAGCCCCTGTTAAAAACTGTCTGCAGCCCCAAATCTGCTGCTGCTGCTGCTGCTGTTGCTGCTGCTGCTGCTGCTGCTGCTGTTGCTGCTGTTGCTGCTGCTGCTGCTGCTGCTGCTGCTGCTGCTTCGTGCCTGAGGATGTCCTTCTTCTGGGGGAAGCGGCTCTTGTTGCACTTTATTTTTCTTTTTTAATTTAATTATTTAAAAAAAAAGAAAAAAAAACCCTAAACCCTAAACCCTAAACCCTAAACCCTAAACAACACACCAAGTCCCGCGCACAACGAATACGCAGACACCGTAAACCCTAAACCCTAAACCCTAAACCCTAAACCCTAAACTTTAAACTCTAAACCCTAATTACGTCTTATTCACTTCTTTTGTGTCCGTTCATAAACATCTCTCCGCATCTAGGGTTTAGGGTCTAGGGTTTAGGGTTTAGGGTTTAGGGTTTAGGGTTTATCTTCTTGGGGGCCCCCTACTAGACAGGCCCCAGCAGCAGCAGCAGGCTGCAGGGGCCCCCCTGCTGCGTTGCTGCTGTTGCTGCTCTCGCCCCATCATCAGCAGCAACAAATTAAATAATTAATTTAAATATATAAACAAAAAGGAGATATCCATAGAGGCAGAAAGCAGCAGCAGAGAGGGGGCGGGGGGGCCCCTGCAGCAGCCGAACTGCAGCAGGGGGGCCCCCGTGCATCAAGGGTACAGCCAGGGGGGCCCCCCACTCCTCTGATAGAGAAGCAGCTCTATAGAAGCAGCAGCAGCAGCAGGAGCAGCAGCAGCTGCAGCTGCAGCAACAACAGCAGCAGCAACAGCAGCAGCAGCATCAAAAACAAAAGTAGCAATAGCTGCAGCAGCAGTAGCAGCAGCAACAACAGCGGCTGCTGCTGCTGCAGTGCAGCTTGCTTCTTATAAAGTTTAGGGTTTAGGGTTTAGGGTTTAGGGTTTAGGGTTCAAAGGCCGGTCCATGAGGCGCCCCAGCTCTTCGGGGCGGGGGCCCCCAGGGCCCCCATACCCCTCAGCAGCAGCAGCAGCAACACCAGCTGCAGCAGCAGCAGCAACACCAGCAGCAGCAGCAGCGCCAGCAACAGCAGCAGCAGCAGCAGGACCACGGCCACAACCGGCGTCAACTGCACCGTCATCCTCATCATCATCAGCAGCAGCACCAGCAGCAGCAGCAGCTGCTGCTGCTGCATCACCAGCAGCAGCAACTGCAGCAGCAG